CCACTTTTAACAGTGCTTTATTTAAAGAACCCAGGAATGACAGGACTCTTCCCTAGAATATCAATCAGCACTGCTCCCCCAGATTCTGGAATTCTCCCCTGGAAGAACACTCATGAAGTCACAGACCACTAACCAGACACACCTGAAGTTAATGCATCAGCCGTACTTTGAGATACCTTCAGCTTTTAGCAATCCTTCCTGCCCACTTCCCTGTGCATTTTCTGGTTTCTTTCCCAGGGCACAGAACTGCAATCCAAGCGTTGTGCCCAGCACTAACTGGGCTGCAAGCCCAGGGACCTGCACTTTATTTCATTGACACTCACTCCTTTGTTGCCTCTGGCAAGTCACTTTCTTTCTATCCTGCTGCTTCCTGCCTGCCTAGAGAATTCCAAACTCCTCTGGGAAGTGATCCCAGGCTCAGCTAGGCAAAGGGCTTAGAACTACTATGGACTGGGAGCACTACCTGCTGTATCTGTTAACATTTGATATTTTGGAATTGAAAGGCCATTGCTGAGGTGAAATGAGGCAAGTGTCATATTAATATTTGCCAGAGCAACTTCTGCCCTGGGCTGGTCTCAGGTTGGCAGAGCACTGTGAGAAAGAGCAGCAGTGAGCAGGCAGAGCAAAGCTCTGGTGCCTACACACTCTCTGGTGAACTCCATGTGCAACCCTAAAACTCAGTTCCCCTTCAAGTTCTGCAAGCCAGTTATGGTTACTCTGAAGATGCTCCTGTACGTAAGCTCCTCTTTCCTACACAGAAAAGGATGGTACCACACTTCAACAGGCTGAATGTTCCAGCCACAGAATCAGAATCCCAGTGGAAGGGATCTCTAAAGATCACCTTGTTCCACCCCCTGCCATGGGCAGGGACACCTCCCACTGTCCCAGGGTGCTCCAAGCCCCAGTGTCCAACCTGGCCTTGGACACTTCCAGGGATCCAGGGGCAGCCACAGATTCTCTGTGCACCATGTGCCAGGGCCTCCCCATGCCAGGGCCTCCCCACCCTCCCAGGGAACAATTCCTTCCCAATATCCCATTCAACCCTGCCCTCTGTGATTCTGTAGCTGTGTCCCCAACCTGGGACACGTGCACTGAACACAACCCACTGGACACCACCCACTGAACACAGACTGGCACAGTGCAAACACCAGATCAGGTGAGAGGAGCTGCAGCCTCAGCAGTGTCCCTGCCCCCACAGGGCCCTGGACCCCCTCTTGCCCCTGGGTTTATTCATCAACCTGTCCTGGTGCCAAGAATGTCTTATGGAATGTGAGCAGCAGGAGGGAGACTGTTTGTTCCAGTTTGTAACTCCCCTAAACATGACTGGAATTCCCATGGAGAAGGAGAGCACAGACCCAACCCAAACACTTTCCCTGAGGACTTCCCAGAGTCTGGAGCAAACCACACAGGCATACGAACATCTCAGAAAAGATCTCCAGACTCTTCTATGGGAACAGTCAGTGACCAGGTGTCAAACTAGCCACACCTTTCTAGGAAAAGATATTAAATAGTTTTTTTCACAATTACCCTCTTCTCTTCCTCATCCCTGCCAGTTAAAGTTGGTAGCAGTCAGACAAGTCTCTTTAACACATTAGCACTGTGGGTTGCATTGTTTTCTTCTCTCTCATGTGGGAATTGTGGTCTTGGACCATGAGCCAAGGCTCAAAAAGGAGCTCCCAAAGCCATGCAGCCGTGTCCCTGTGAGCACATCCCCTCCTCACCACCACAGAGCTGTGGCTCTGCAAGAATGCATCTGAAAAAATAAAGGGAGTCCCAGACACACCATCTATTGACTATAAACCCCAAAGACTGAAAATAACCAACTAAAGACTGAAAATAACCAACTAAATGCAACAGTTTTTCCTCAAGTGAGTCTTCAAAGTGCTTTCCCAGCTGGAAAGTTGAAACAGCACTGTCTCCTCTTTAGGCAGGCAGCGAACAAACAACAGCTCTCAGCTGAGTCCCAGCTGGCCACACAGCTCCCTTCCTCCCAGGAAGAAAAAAGGCCAGGATGGGCCTTCCCCAACAGCCTCTCTGATCACAGCCCCTCAGACCTGAAGGCAAGGGCACATTGGCCCTCACCCCCGAGTCAGTCCCTCATCCTCCCGCAGCACAGGCTCGCTTGCACACCCAGACTTTGCTTCCCACCACAGAGCTGGCTGCTCCAGGGCAGCCCAGGAACAGAGCACAGGAACTGAGCCACAGCCCAGGGGCTCTGCACAGGCAGCAGCTCAGATGTCACCTGGCACACAAGGCTGCCTTCACCAACACTTCTTGGGTGACCGCTGGTGGCTGTGAGTATCAGCTGGCTCCAGCAAGTGACCATGGAGAAAATCTGATCAGCTTTTCCAAGCCTGCAGTTTGTGATGTGAACACACACCACAAATGTGTGCAATGTGTTGTAATGTCATATGATGTAGTTATTATGTGAACCAATCCAAGGCCCCACTGCTGGTCAAGGGACTCCTCACTCACAGGTTCAGGATGGATGCAATCCATGCCCCACAGAGAAGCACAGGAGAGAAAACAACACTTTCCTGTATCCCTTAAATACTGAGAAATTTTGGGAGAGGGCAGCAAACCATGCCTGCAGAGACCATGAATGTAGCAGTTCCCAATGAGATGGAAATAGCAGAGGAAGACTGGAACAATGCAGACATCTGTAAGAGAGGGTGTAAACAGCCTGACTGGGTTACAGAGAAACAGCAGTGCAGCAGCGGGCAAAGCAAAAATAGCAGGAAAGGAAAGATAAATAAAAAATTCCTAAAATATAATGAGGAGCAAACAGACTGACAAGGAAACAAGAGAGCCATTGAGCGGAAAAATGAGAAAAGACATGCAGAAGCAACAAAGGTAGGCCAGGGATTTAATCCAGCCTCAGAGGGGAAGGCACAGGGAGGAAAGAAGAGAGCTGAGTTGTTTCACTGCAGCATGAGGAGGGAAAAGGAAGATGGTTCTGTCAGGAAATTACAACCATGTGCACTTAGGCACAGCAGCACCACCCAGCACTCTCACATCCACTCTGCAGGACAGGTGACATGTCCAGGCTGTCTCTTCAGCACGGCATGGCCATGGTGGATCCTTCTTCCCCTTTCCCTACCCCACCATTCACCATCTCCCAATTCCGGTGGCTTGGTTTTGCCTCCATCTCTTTCAGCTAGATGAGACGATTTTGGGATATGAGTGTGGCAGGTAAAAAGTAATTCCTGCACAGGGGATGGGGCTGGACCCTGCATGAAGATGGAAGCAGTTCCTGCCCCTCCTACTGCTCCCTGCTCCATCTCCAGTGCCACCAAAGCAACTCCTCGGGAGGCAGGTGTAGGGAGCAGCTGCTTCTCGCTGCTCTCTCCCAGACTTCTGCCCATGATGTTCCCTTCTCCCCCTCTGTCCAGGACTCAGACACCATAGAAGAGGCATTTACATCCACAGAAATCCTTCTATAGCTCCAACAACATCGAGCCTGCCCACACAGCAAAGGTGTGAGCCCTCATGTCTTTTTCTTGCTTCACATCTCACTCTGCCCTATCTTTTCCAGCCAAAAAACTTCCCACAACAGGTGGGAAGGGGAGAAGCCGACTTTATGGAGCAAAACCAAATCTCTCTTTGCACAAGGTGGTTCCCAAGCTCTGGCAAAAGTACCCAATACCCACACAGCAAGCCCAGGATGCACACAGCCTAGCCCAGAACACAGCAGTTCCTGCCAGCAAAATTCAGAGCAAGGGAGCCAGGAGACGAGCCTGGAAAGCCTCAAAGTATGTAAAATACGAACAGGCAGCTGAACAATGGCTGAAAGAGAGACACCAAAGGAGGTGACAAGAGGCTGGGAAGGAGTTTCCATGCCCTGCACAGAGCTGGACTTTGTCAAGGGAAAGGCTCAGCTGCAGAGCCCAGCCTCCCCTGTGAGCAGCACACTGTGTGTACACACTGATGTGGGATGGCTGCTAGCGACTGAGATGTTTCAGCTCAGGGCTGAGGACCTCCATTCCCCACCTGCAGTGAAGTCAGTCCTGCTTCCTTTTGCAGACAGAAAGCCAAGACCCCCCCCATGCTAATGCCAATTGATCACCTATCACAGAGCACAGTGAAGAAAGAGTTCAGAAAAGGTAGTCTGGTTGTACTTTTTATTTTTCTTTACTATTTATTTAACATTTCTATACCCACCCAGGGTAAGTCTGGTGCTTCCAAACTGCTGTCTGCAACCACCAATGTTGGGAACTTACCTTTCCAGTGGGAATCATGGCTCTTACCTAACACATAGCAAAACCCAGGTGGGCAGAGCCCTAAGGAAATCTCTGGTCTGATCTCCTGCTCAAAGCTGAGTCTGCTCCAAGCTCAGTCCTAGTTACCTGGGACTTTACCCAGGCTGGTCTAAACAGCCTCAACCTCTCTTCTCTCCACTTCATGCCCATTATCTCTCAGTTCTCCTGTCACCAGCAACTGCCTGGCCCCACCTTCCCACCCACCCCTCACAGTGGCCATGAGTGTGTCCCGAGCTCCCTCTGGCGCCACCTGTGCCCCGGCCCGCTCTCAGCCCTGGGCCGGCTCTGGCTCTCCCTCCCCGGGGCTGGGGCACACACCCCGAACTGCAGGTTTAGGGTTTAAAAATCATACAGGGCTGGACGCCGCTAGAGGCTGGCAGTGCCCTGCCCCTCCCCGGCAAAGGAGGCAGCTCATGGTCCCCTCATAGCGCCGGGCAGCTCCCGGGGCACCGCGCCCCCCTCGCGGGAGAGACAGCGACAACCGTCTGAGCTGCTGGGCCGTGAGGGGCGCGCCCCCGTGCCCCGAGAGACCCCCAAGCCGTGAGCAGCGGCCCCGCCGTGCCGTGAGAGACCCCCAGCCGTACCCGCGGCCCCGCCGTGCCCGCCCGCTCTGCGCCGCCGCCATCTCCGCGGCGGGACCGCCCCCTGCCGGCCGCCTGCGGTGCGGCCCCGCGGGCCCTCGGGGAGCGGGACCCCCGCCTGGCCCGCCACACCCGGCCCCTCGCGCCCCGCTGTACTTACTGCCTTGTGAGGCTCCTTCCCCTGAGGCAGCTTCAGTGTCTGCAAAGAAAAAGCGCAGCGCTTAGATCCGCCGCTGCTCTGCCCCGGCCCCCAGCGCCCCCCGCTCGCTCACTCGCTCTCCTCTCGGCCGCTCTGCCCGGCCCGCCCGGCTCCTCGCGGGACGGAGCGGACCCTGAGGGGCTCACCGGGGCTGAGAGGGCAGACATGGCCAGCAAGGGCTCGTGATTAAAGCGCAGCTGCCCACGGTCATATAATGGTCTGGGCTGGAAGGGACATTAAAGCCCATCTCGTTCTACCCCTGCCGTGGGCAGGGACACCTTCTGCTATCCCAGGCTGCTCCAAGCCCTGTCCAGCCTGGCCTTGGGCACTGCCAGGGATCCAGGGGCAGCCACAGCTGCTCTGGGCACCCTGTGCCAGGGCCTGCCCACCCTCCCAGGGAACAATTCCTAATTCCCAATATCCCATCCATCCCTGCCCTCTGGCAGTGGGAGCCATTCCCTGTGTCCTGTCCCTCCATCCCTTGTCCCCAGTCCCTCTCCAGCTCACCTGGAGCCCCTTCAGGCCCTGCAAGGGGCTCTGAGCTCTCCCTGGAGCTTCTCCTCTCCAGGTGAGCACCCCCAGCTCTCCCAGCCTGGCTCCAGAGCAGAGGGGCTCCAGTCCTCAGAGCAGCTCCATGGCTTCCTCTGAACACAATTTTTTAACAGGCAAGTGCTGTGAACCCAGGAAAGGGAGCAGTGAACAGCACACCCGGCTCTGCTCCTGTGGGATTTGGCACTACCACCGTGCCTGCCCTCCACAGGCAGTGATGGCAAAGCCTCCACAAGAGATGGGCCACAAGAATTCCCCCAGGGTGATTCTGTCCTGATCTTACTGAAGGCAGATGTGAAAACAAGGGAGAGAAAGCTCCCTCCACTGTAGTGTGTGGGACTGCAAGAAGCACACATCAAAGATCATGTTCAAGCCCTAAATGAATGCAACAGGCAAAGCTGCAAGCTGGAAAACAAACCCCAAAGTTACAAGTCAAGTATCATAAATGATTAGGATTTCCAAGCCAGTTTGAAGTGTTTCATATTCATCCTAAATTACATACACTGTATGTCACATTATCTAATAATATAACTGCGTGGCAAAATATTCCATATGTCTGTTGGAATGATGCTTGCACTGCGCTGGAAACCACAGCTGCAGAATGGCACAGCGTTTTTGAATTTAAAATTTTCAACCTTAAGTAATGAGCACTGTTTGAATTTAATTTCTTTATTTCTTAAAAATAATAAAAACAAATGATTGTGGGTTTGTGAATTTGTACATTTCTACTTGATTAACCTGCCTGATTAGATCATTCTTCTAGGCAACAGTATTAATTTGGCACAACTTCATAAACTAGGGGCCAGATTAGAAACCCTCAGTATCAGATGCAGAACCTCGACAGCAAAGCCCAGGATTTTTCCACAGCTGCTACTTGTTTGAATTCTCACCCATCATTCAAGGAAAAGCAGCTATGGCACAACAGATTTATGCAAAATGCTGTCCTGGTGTTCACAAGCAACAGCATGAACAAATCATAAAAGATATGCACTATTTAAATAGCTTTAAAAAGTACTTTAGTCAAATTTAACAAGAATCAGGCAACACACAAAATTTGAGGAACAGCCATTTCTGAACTGCATCAAGAAATGTTGTTACCCTTAGTCATAGATAGACTAAAGTATTCATGAATTAAAAAATGACCAACTAAAAATCCCCTTACAGCCCACTCTATATCACCTTTGAGGTCAAACCAAGTAATTCCAGTTGTGAAACAAAAGAAAAAATTCTGAGAAAGTTGCAAAAGTCAGTAAGAATAGGGAGGTGGGCAGGGAAGCTAGAAAATGGGCCAGTTAACTCCTCTGTCCCAAGAAACTTTCTGCATCTCATATGAGTATCTGCTGCAGACTGGGAAATGTGCATGGGAAAAATGGATCTTGGGATGCAGGGCAGAGGGCAAAGAACCTCCCTAAAATCAACTGGTATTTTCAGGAACAAATAAACAAATGCACCCCAACTTTCTATGGCTCAAGAACACCATCTCTCCTCAGGGATGGTTATTCCTCTACTAGTTTTCTACTCGTCACCTCAAAATCCTTTCAGTGACAGAACCACTTTAACTCAGACTCCAAAAAATGTGCACTTTGGAAAAAAGCATTTTTCCGTATTCACCATTTGAATGAGTCATCTTCCTTTTCATATTTTTTGAATTGAGCAGAACCCATTCTTGGAAAACATAAATCTGAAACTTGAAAAGCTTTGAGAAGTTTTTTAACAACTGGTGAAACTCAAAACTTGGCCTGAAGAATCCAGCCCCACTCAGAGCATCCAGGATCTGTTCTGGTGTGGGCAGCTCAGCCCTTGGCTGGCACAGCCCTGTGGGGAGGACATGCAGAGCTGAGGGGCTTGGAGAGAGGCAATGCAACAACTTATAATGTAAATAAATAATAATGAAAAACAACTTGAGCAAAATCATCAGTCAGCCCAGAAAAGCTTATCTGGGAACAGAGAACTTCCACCAATTCTTGGGCTAGAGGCGATATATCCTGCGAGGGTTAAACTTGAGCCTTGCTATTTTCTTTCTTTTCTTTTGGAAGAATTCTCCTTTGGGTACAAATCTCCCTTGCTTGGCCTCAGCCCAAAGGTTTACAAATTTGCTGTTTGAAAGTCTAATAAAGCAATTTCAGCCTTTTTTTTTTTTTTTGGAGTTATCTAAAACTGAAATAATTTTCCTGACTCAAAACATGCAGATGCTTTGCTGCTCGTGTTGCTTAAACACGACCCAACCGTACAAAGCAGAACTTTCTAGCTGACTAACTCCTGAAGGCAATCCAAACCTTTTAATGACCTGAAAAACCCCACACAGCTAAAATAAAAGCACCGTAAGCAAAACATTTTTAAGCCCTGGGTTGCATGTAGGCGAAGCGGTAACATTTGGGACAGAGCCTTCCATCGGCACTGGGAATGCGTAGCCCCTCCGCTCCAGCTGAACTCCAGCAGGAGGAAGGAGCCGGGATCCTGCAGGGCTCAGAGCAGCTCACAAAGGAGCCTTTCAGCTCCACAACATAACTTTTTTGTTGGGTTTCTTCTTTATTTGTGAGTTTTGGGGAGGCAAAGGGGAAGGAACACGACCTTTTCCTTTCTTCCTCGATGAAACACAGTGGAGAAATTTCTTACCTACGTTTCTGGTTCTTTGCAGAACCCTCACACAGGGATTTCCATGCCTGGATCTTGGCTTTTGGGGGAAAGCAGAATGGGAACTTGTCCCTGTGAGGCAGCACGTCCTGAAGCAGAGCTGCCTCAGCCCTTCTGTAAGCTGCCAAAGCAGTCGCTGCCTGAAATTCTCCAGCCAATGCTCAGCACACAGGGAAGGCTCAATAAACAAAGAAAATGCCCTGTTTTATAATATAAACTCCCCTGCTCCTGAAGGCAGACAAGAAAAAAAATCAGCCTCAAGAGCATGGGTCACCTCCAACACAGCTTGTCTGCCACAGAGAGCTGGAGTGGAGGCAGGTACAGCTATAAAAAAAATCCATGAAATTTCTCCAAAAAATGCTAATTGCAAAGAAAAGTCTTTGATCTTGCCAGGGCAAAACTCTTCATGTGGAACTGAACAGCTCAAAGGATGAGAAGACAGTAAGTTTTGCACAGGGCAAAACAAGCAGTGGATAAGCACGGATCGACTGCACGAGCAGAGAGGGTGACAGACCTTCCCCCTGCTGTAAGGCTCAGGTGGGCCCCTGGACACAAAAACCAGCTCAGAAATAACCTCAGGTGAAAGCAAGGACAACTTGAGGCCCCCAAACCTTGCATTTTGTGTCACTGAACGGTGACAGACAGGCTGATGACAAGATGTTTTGTTCTGCCACAAAGGTCCAAAGCAGAACACCAATTTCTCTGCTCTCTACTGGCCTGAGCCTTTTCTGTCTCCTGCTCTGTCAGCTCCTGCAGCACCATCCCAAGGCCTATTAGTGACACAGGAACCACACAGACCAGCAGAAAGCAGAGGCCTGGGATGGGGTGTATCCTTCAGCAAATTACAAACAGCAGCTATTGCTGCTGGAATGGCCAAAAAACCTGAAGAGAAGAAATTGGCCTCAGTTTGTTCTAGCTCCTCTGACGCTGAGCTGGGGAGTCTCCCAGGATCAGTCCACCTTTGGGAAAGGCAGACGCTATGTGACTGATGGGTGGCCAGACCTCTGGGAAAACCATGGCTGGCACCATCCTGCAAAGAGGGAATCCAGGTTCTGCCGTTGCAGTCCTGCTCCTCCCTTGCCCAGCCAGAAAGAAACGACTGAAAGATTCAGGTCTGGAGTTTCTGGCAGCTGAGAACTGCACGGACTGGGCCAAGGGAGCTCACATTGCAGTGCTTCCAGCACAGCAGCCCTGGGAGAGCTGGCTGCCAGTGCCCTGGCACTGGATCTGAGACATGGACTGGAAATCACAGGAAGAACAGGAACGTGCATGGTACACCCTCAGTGCAGTGATCCCACCATGTTATCCCACGTTTGTCCCCTGGGGCAGCACCAGCCCCTTCTCCTCTGTGAAGCCTTGGGGCAGTAAAAGCATCTTTCACAAAAATCCCCTTCACTCGTGCAGTCTTCTGCCATCCCAGCACCATTCCTGGTCCAGTCCATGCACAACTCACACTGGATAATATCACCCAGGGCTTTCCTCCAAAGAATCCTTCCTTCTTTTTTCCTGCCCATCCTTAACCCTTCACTGCAGGTTACTCCTCTGCGGCCAGGCACACTCTGCCCAGTGCCTCAGCTCCCTGGGAGAATCCCACTGCCAGAGCTGCATCGTGTCTGCAGTTTCATTTCTTGCTGGAGAGTGTAGATGAATAAATAACTCATTTGTATTTTTATTGTCTTAAAGCAATTTGGATGCACTTTGAATGTTACTACTACATGAATCCACTTACAGTAACATAAACCAACACTTTCTAAGTATCATACATACAAATTCTGTTTCTCCATCACTGATGTGAGAATTAGTGATAAATTTCCACATTCAGAATTTTGAAAATTTTCATCTTCTGCAACTACACATGACAAAGACCTTGGAAGCAAAAGGTAAAGTCATGTCTCCTCTGAGTTAATGTCAAAACTATGGATATCAAATGTACAGGTCTATGTTGATGCACCCATAAAATTTAATATATTGCTTAATTTTATTATCAAAATATAAATGAATACAAATTAATTAGATCACACACTAGGAGATGACATCATACTAACAGAGCTCCTAAAATTCCAGCTGAATTAAAGATCCCACAGTGCTTGGGGAAGAGAAGTAAAATAAAAGCAATCCTTGCCCCACATTTAAATACTACAATTATTATTGCAAAATTATTGCAATGCTATGATGTAATGGTAAAGCATATCCCTGTTATTTTAGGATTTTTTTCCTTAAGCCGCAGAGTGAAGCTACTTGAAGCTACATTTAAAGGACTTTAAGGAATTTTGTTGCTATTTAGAAAAGAAATACCAGCATGGAAAAACAATTCTGTGTATCCATAAATACAGAGGCAGCTCTGTGATATTAAACAGCACACAAGGAATATGCAGCCATGCGGTTAAGGATGTGTTATGAGACTGTGATGACCTCTGAACAGTTAAGGATGAACACTTCTCAGCTGTGCATGTGCTGACTTTTGAGAGTTTGAGCATTCAAAACTTAGTATCAGCCTTCATTATTCCTTGATTTTCAACCACTGGTTACACCTGAGGAGCTAAAGCAGATGTTCCTGCCAGCCTGGCACAGCTCACCTCAGGGACAGGAGACAAACCCAGAGAAAGGCTCAGGAGGAGCTGGTTTGCAGTCCCTGCTGTTCTGGTATTTCAGAGCTACAATCCTGCAAACTACACTTTGATTGAATAAACCACCTCAAACTTTCACATTTCTGCAATTAAGCAACATTGGGTTGTTCAGTCTTACAGAAAACCAAGATCAAGCCACTCCTGACCAAGCACGAGACCTTTCACGCACACAGCTCATTTGGGAAGTGACCTCAGCTGACAGCAGGGGCACAGGGGCAGCTCAAGGAGCATTTTGATTTGAACATAAAAATACAGCAGTCACAATGCCCATATCTGATTTCTATCCTCCCAGGCTGACTTCTCAGGGATGGATGGAACTCCCAGCTGGGCAGGAGCACAGAGCACCTCAGGGAGATGCCACCACACTGCTGGCACTGGGATATGCCAGGAGAAACTCTGAGATCTGAGCTCCCCGTGCACACAGGGATGCCCTCAACAGCCCTGGGCATTAAATACTGCCCTGAACACAGGAGCTGCTCCTGACCTGGGGAGAAATATTGCTGGAGTAAAGAGCCACAAAGCTGAGACAGCCCCAAAGTTTATCACTGGGTCCCTCTCAGTGGGACACCCCCAAGAATTACTGGTGACCAGGGAAGCAGCAGAGCTACCTTCAAGACCTTCCTGAAAATAGAACTAAAATCACAGAATATCCTAGAAGGGACCCTCCAGGATCATCCAGGTGTCCAACTCCTGTCCCTGCCCAGACCCCCCAACAAGCCCACCCTGGGCATCCCTGGCAGCGCTGTCCAAAGGCTCCTGGAGCTCTGGCAGCCTCGGGGCCGTGCCCATTCCCTGGGGAGCCTGGGCAGTGCCAGCACCCTCTGGGGGAAGAACCTTGCCCTGATCTCCAGCCTGAGCTGCCCTAAATCTGCGTTATCCCAGAATTCCCGAGATTACAGCAGGACTGAGATACCTCTGTGTGCTCGCACATGGGTCTGGAAACAGTTGTAATACTTGTATTTCTTCCCACATATTCCACACTCGTAAGACCCTGAAAAACAAGAGAGAGAAGCACACATCACTATGAGAGATCAGGAAAGCAGCCTCCCTGCACACTGGTCCATAAAGTGCGAGCAAAAGGGTGCACCTGACAGCAAAGTAATTTTTGGAAGGTTCATGGAGATAAATGCAGGAAATCACTATCCCAGACACTATTCTGTCTGTCAGCCTTATTTAAGATTCCTTGGCATATTACCCTGAACTTACATTTTCAGTGTATCTTTTTAACTTTGCTAACGTGAAAGGGCCACTCTCAAAATAGCCTGACGTATAATTTTATAATAATGACTAATGTTTCCTATGGACAGAAATAACCTTGAATTACTTTTCAGTAAGTTCCTAGTAGCTGGGAAAAAATCCTTTTCAACTGAAAAAAAGAAGGCAATATGTTATCTTGAGGCCTGGAGTTTTCAAAATTTCTCAAGAAATGCACAATGTACAAATTTCCCAAGAAACCCACAGAGATTTGGTAAATATCCACCCAGAGGAAACCAAATAGATACAAATAGAACTTTTGCCCTTTTTAAGGAAAAGCACATGACCACAGTAGTCCCTCTTCTCAATTTGTGTCTCTAATTCCAGAAAACACACATCTGCAAACAGTCATTTGAAATGAAACCAGAGGAAAAGAGCTGGGAGAACCATTTGTAATGATGAAGTTATGCCATGAATTTAGACTCTTCTGTTATTGAACAGGCAGACAGAAATTTCCTTAGATTTGTTACTTGAGTTGATTCAATCTCTTTTTTTCCTACTTGACTTTGTTGCACAGGCTATAAATTCACTTTCCAGGCTCTTATTTGCTGAGAATGCACTGCATTTCTTAACTGTCCACCAGAGCTGTGGAACTGGGATCCCCTTGGTGCTCTTTGGAGAGGGGGAGAGCATCACTTGACTGAAGAGGAGGTGGGAGAAAAAAGGGCTGAATTAATTTGAATGCAGAATTTCATTTCCATGCACCTTTCCTCACACAACCTTGAAAAAATATTTTTCTGACCATGCCAAACAGCAAAACTCAGGGAGGAGCCACAAACAAGAACAAAAACATTGACACACATCCAGATAAACATTCCCAAACAGCATTTCACAGCAATACTCACCTGGAGCTACTCAAAGTGAGCTCTAGCCAGGAACAAACACAGGGTGCTCTCTGAACACACTATGCCCACGGTCCTTTTTCCCATTCCCATGTCCCATTCTCACAGCTTGGGAAGAAAACACCCCCCTTAGAGTGTCAGAGCCCTGAATTCCCTGCCCATCACAGACAGCACACCTGGGGCTGTGTCCTGAGCTGGGGAGGCTCCTTTGTCACTGGTGCTGAAAGAGGCTATTCGCCACAGTCCGATACACCAGAGCACCCAGCTGAAAAAAATACTCCCATATTCTGATAGCACAGGCACTTGGCTGTATCTGATCTGCTCCAGAGCATTTTTATTATCATAGCTCACTGTATTTTATATAGACATACATCTGTGGGACAGTCACCACCTGCGGTCACTTACACAGGCTGCCTGAGTGAAACCAGGCTATCAGCAGGTCAGCAGCGTTTGTCAGCCCTCACTTCCTCTGCTCAAGGACTGATTATTTCACCACCAACCTTCAAAATTCTATTCTGAAAACTCTTGGAGCTAGAGCCCCAAAGCAGCAGAAGAGAACACTCTGGGTCCTGCAAGCAGGAGCCCTGAGCACAGCTGAGGTTCAGCTGAACCAACAGCAGGATGTGACTGATGCCCACCCACATCCCAACAGTGCTGGCTGCACATGGAGCACTGGGAAGAGCTGGAATGGCTCCAGAGGAGGCCACTGAGTTAATCACAGGGCTAGAAGACTCAGAGCCTCTTCCAGGGCCTAAAGGGGCTCCAGGAGAGCTGGAGAGGGACTGGGGACAAGGCATGGAGGGACAGGACACAGGGAATGGCTTCCACTGCCAGAGGGCAGGGATGGATGGGATATTGGGAATTAGGAATTGTTCCCTGGGAGGGTGGGCAGGCCCTGGCACAGAGTGCCCAGAGCAGCTGTGGCTGCCCCTGGATCCCTGGCAGTGCCCAAGGCCAGGCTGGATGGGGCTGGGAGCAGCCTGGGACAGTGGGAGGTGTCCCTGCCATGGGAGGTCCCTTCCAGCCCAAAGCATTCTATGATTCTGGGAGTTGGTGCAAACAGGTCAAACACAGTGAGGGGCTCTAGACTGAATTTTTTGTCCCATTTTTATTGTATTTCCTACTTCCTCTGGAGACAGTCTATGGCACATAAATGAGCAGGCTGTGCAGAAGTTCTCCAGGAAGGTCAGCTGTGCAGGTAACTGTGCAGTGCCTTCCTTCTGCACTGTGAGGCCGAGCAGGGGCTGCAGCCCTCGTGCAGGGGCTGTGCTGGACACCGGGGCAGGAGCTGAGGGACCACGTGTCCCAGGCCAGGGCTTTTGTGCAGGTGTCCTGGAGATCCCAGGCCTCAAGTGGAACCCAGGGAAGGTTGGAGTCAACCTTGAGGGGGACACCTGCTCTCACCCTCTGCCCACAGGTGGTAGAGCAGTGGCCCAGGAGCACAGGGAGTTGGGGAGGGTGTGAGGGAGGTTTGTTACAGACTTGAGGCAGAGACACAGCTCAGCAGCCACAGCTGTGTGCTCAGCTCACCACAGGCCCTCACGTTAGAGAAAGGAGGGGTGACTTGCCACTAAAAATGTGTTGTTAGAGGGGAGAAAGGGTGAAGAGGAGGAAGAAGGACATCACTGTGTGTTAAGGCCTTGTAGAGAACATGCCCACGTGGCCTTGGACACCAGCAGCAAGGTGCTTGTTCCCTCAGGTGTGTCATGCAGGTCACAGCTGGTGGTAGCAGGAGGGGAGGTGGGAAGGTTTGGGGTTAGTTGGTGCACTCAGTTGGGCCAGGCTTTTCCTGAGCCTTGCAGCTGGAATCTGGGCAATGCACCCATTGCTTCCAGAGCTTCCTTTGCTCCCTGAGCCCTGGTTAGACTTTCACACCCTTCCATCACATACCGGACGTGTATCTCAATGCATGGTCAAAAATCCAGGTCCCTGAATATCGATTTCGTGTATATCCAACGGAAGAGTCACGTTCCACTGCTTTTCCATCTAAATTGTGCAAAAAGAAATCAGAAAAAAGCCCTTAAAGTGGATGCATTTCCAAGGAATAATGATGGCTGAAGCCTATTAAAAATTTCCAAGACCCATCTGTCCCTGTGGCTTCCTGACAAGATGTCAGAGGTCTCACAGAATTTCTTAAGGCTTCTGCAGTACTATTTTACCTCACCAGGGAGAATCCAAAGTGCTCTTGAATTTCATATGCTGAGCAGCTCAGCAAGTGAAATATCAGCACCATGGCACGAACCCAGTGTGTGCCTGGGAGGTGGACAGAGAGGCTCTGAGCAGAAGGATTCTCTCTTCACTCTTTCTCAGAAACATTTCCGATTTAATGCATTACTGGAAGAGTCCTCTCCAAAATGTTCCTTGTAAAGCACCAGATTGGGAGAGCAGTTTGAGAGCTTAAGGATTCTTGTATCAAACTTCTCCTGATCAGCTCGCAGATAACTCAGTCTTCCAGGACACAAATACTGATCTGATGCTAGTCCCAACAGGAGGAAATGATCCACATCTGATAAACAGTCTCCCCCTCTTTCTCCCTAGTTACAACACAAGTGCCCTTTGCTTTTCCTCTCCTCTCCAGACAGCTCCGTGGGACTTCTGTGCCTGTCTGCCTTGACTTCCCTGCCCTGAGAAGTATCCATGTGCTATGGCTCTTCAGGTGCCCCTGGCCTGAGGTCAGCACGTGAATCTTGCCAGAAGAAAGAAGAACAGGAAATGTGGCACCCCTGAGCTGTGCAGGGCAGGAACCCCCCCTGCAGGGCGGGGACGGCCAGGGTACCGTGGGGGTCCAGGAGGGTGCAGGGGGGAGTGGGGGATCCACAGCAGCTGCAGCTGACAGGAGCCAGCTGAGAGCCAACCTCTCCACTGGCTTCCTCTGCTTGGGATGCCAGAGGGGGATCCTACAGGACTGAAAGACTTCTGTGGAAAAGCACCTGAAAGGAAAACGGTCCAAACCCACAAACAGCTCTTTGGCTGGGGACTGTGGCCACTGCCCCCAACCATCCCACCGAGTAGAGCCCCTTCCAGCCCCCACGGGGTTTGGGATGCTCCATGTGGATGGAGGCAGAGTCTGGAGTGCCAGGAGAGACAGGAGCTGGTGCAAACAGGAGGCAAAAAACACAAGGCCTGGTTTGATGTAAACACTGCAAGGGAATAGCAGCAACTGAGCTGGGAATCCCTTTTATAAATTGCTCCAAGTGACAACTAAAATATAAATAGAGCAGATGTGTGACTCAGAAAAGAAACATAAATCTTGTAATGTGCATTTCAGCCACGTCCCAAGGCTGAGCCCTGCAGGAAAGCTGCCACTTGGAGCCACATGTGCCCTTCAGCACCATGGTCCCAGCTCAGACACATCCCCCATATAACCAACTGTCTCCAGCACCCCCTGAAAGGAGACAGGCTGGGGGTCAGCAATTCCACACAGGAGAGAGGTTCATTCACTCCTGAGTCACCACTTCATCAGGATATGCTATTAAAATAACCATTTTAAACACCTCCAATCTCAGCTTCCCTGATGAAGGTGAACAAAATCCTACCAAAGCCTCGCCTGTCTGCATGGAGGAGGGGATTCAGACACAGGGCTCCCAGATCCCAGGGCAAGGAAAGCTCCTGGAAGTGCTGGGAGCAGCAGCAGAGTCACAAAGCCTTTGCTCCAGAGGCAGGAGGCACCAGCAGCATCAGCAGATCACACTTCTGGGCTGCTCCAGTGCAGCAGCTGGAATGGCCAGTGAAGAACTGAAATGGCCAGTGCAGCAGCTGGAACGGCTAGTGGAGCAGTGGCATATGAGGCACATTCCTGGTGTGAGGTACCCTGGTGTGTGCAGAGATGGGCACAGTGCCCATGTGTGATTTCCATGGGGGGACAGAGGGGGCCAGGTGCCAAAGCTCAGCGAACACAAGGAGCTGGGCACCACAGGCTGTGCACACAGAACAGGACCTGATGGCCAAACAGGAGTTATTCAGAGCCACCTCCCCAAAAACGAGGGTCATGTGAATGGCAGACAGGGGCACTTCCAGAGCTCTGTTCACAGAGGAATTGGTACCAACCCCATCACCTCCAGACCAAACTGCCTTTAAAGAAACCCAGGCTTTACAATGACCAATACAAGGTGTGTTTCACTGGAAAAGACCCTTCCAGACAAGCTCTCCAGTTTATATTACTTTCAACCACCACTTGTAACTGGTCAGTGAATCTGTCCCTCTCCCCACAGTGTCCATACATTGTGAGTGTCCCCCTCACACCAGTCTGTCCCCAATGCTCTCCGCAGGGACAACACAGAATCACAGAACCATGGAACAGCCCCAGCTGAAGGGACCCACAGGGATCATCCAGTCCTGTCCCTGCCCAGACCCCCCAACAAGCCCACCCTGGGCATCCCTGGCAGCGCTGTCCAAAGGCTCCTGGAGCTCTGGCAGCCTCGGGGCCGTGCCCATTCCCTGGGGAGCCTGGGCAGTGCCAGCACCCTCTGGGGGAAGAACCTTGCCCTGAGCTCCAGCCTGAGCTGCCCTGGCCCAGCTCTGACCGCTCCTTGGCTCCTGCCCCTGTCCCAGAGCAGAGATCAGAGCTGTCCCTTGCAAGGAGCTGCAATCTCTGGTGAGCTCTCCCTCAGTCTGCTCTGCTGCAGCTGAACAATCTCAGTGCCCTCAGCAGCTCCTCACTGGCTTCCCCTCCAGTCCATCCAAGTCAGCCAAGAGCAAAAGTCCCCTCCCCGCTGCATAGCAGCACAGCCAAACTCAGCTGGCAACCAGCATTGCCAGAGGACACCGACTGCAGAGCAGCTGCTGCTGCCCAGTCAGGAGCTGTGGGAAGAAGAGTGTCCTGTGGGACATACAGCCAACCTGCAGATGCTTTCACCAAGGGCTGGTGGCCGTGGCTGCAGGAGAAGCTCCCATTGCTGCCCATCAGTCCCAGCTCCACCTCTCCCTCCCAGGGCAGCAGAGATGCTATTCAGCTTTGCCCATGTAATGATCAAGAGTTGCAGGGGCACAAAAACTCTGAAAATACACAGAGTATTTCTTCCATATTGTAAAATCTTTATGTCAGAAATAGTTTTGGACTTCTTAGGCTTTCCCTAGACCTGCACAGATAGCACTGACCTCCTGCCCTGATGTTCTTAGTAGCTGTCCTCTGGTGAAAAGGAGGACAACGATGCTTCTGAGACAATCACCAGCTAAGGACATCTCCTGGGTTTCTTTCCAGCAGTATGGATAATGATCAACAAAACCCAGGAGAAAATCCAACATAAATTCCTCTTTTATCTCCCCCTGGAGGACAAACCAACCCCAAGTACAATGTTGGGCAGCTCAGATCAGCCTTCTCCTGAGTCCCTTAAAGGAAACCTGGTCCAGCTGCTCTTCCTTCTTCTTATTAGCAAGTGCCTTTGGATCTCAGAGGCACTGCAGGGAGCTGCTCCAGGCTGGGGACAACAGAGACAGTGCAAGAGTGGTGCCTTGCCAGGTTCCCACAGGAAGCCCCTTCCCTGGAGCAGGAGGAGAGGACAGTTTGATGTTCATAGAAAAAAAGAAAAAGCTTCTTCTCATCACAGCAGGAGGTGGGGTGGGGAGAGGAAGCACTGTTTTGAAGAGTGCACACCATAGCCAGCCCTGAGTCAAAAGTATTCCCACAACTGAGGAGTGATCAGGAAAACAAACAAACAGCAACCTGTAAAACCTGCTCTTGAGCTCAGACTCATTTACAGAAAGTATCCACATTCCTCAGAGCAACTTTCCTCAAAACATCTCAGCCGTTTCTCAGGCTTTCCTTTCCAAGTTCCTCATCTGTGTCAAACACACCCCCAGCCCTGGGCTCACCAGGCGCTGCAGGTGACTGATAGGCAAGTTCCTGAACATGCCAAAAGAAGACAAGGAGCTTTTTCTTTCAGATCTTGGCTGAGCCTTTAGGGGCAATCAGATGCAAACAGACACAGAAGGTCAATAATCCTGAGCCAGGACCCCCTGATTGATGTTCACCCTGGCTCTGGGCCCTCCAGGCACAGCTCTCCAGAGCCTCACCCAGTCCCCACACCTCTGAGGGAATGGTGCCCCGTGCCTCACCAAGCGTCTGCTGGTTGCGCACGCCGCCGATGACCACGCAGATCTCCGCAGGCACATCCCCCGGCCCATCCTTGATGTTCTTCTTGGAATCTTTGGTGTCATCCTGCCAGATCACCTCCTCGATGTAGTCATCTGGTACCTCTGTCTTCACTTTCACCTCAGTCATCATTCCAGCCTCTTCACTGGGGGAGGACTGAGATGTCACCGAGTCGGAGCCCTCGGCTTTCGGGCTCTGCGGGCTCCTCTTCAAACACTCCCTGAATGGGGAAAAAGAGGAGAGAATGTGAATCCTCAATGCCAAGTGCTCTTTTTGTCATCACCAGGACCTAATTCAAGGTACTTTGGTTTATGCAGGTTATTTAGAAGAAGCATATTAATGTGTGTAAAGGTAAGTAATTAAAATTTAGCTAGACAAAAGCAATAAAATTATTTGCTAGTAATGAAAATAACCTTAATCATCACAAACAACAGTAGTGCTCATAAACACACTGGATCCCTAAAGAAGAGCACAGAACTTGCCCTGGTTGCCAGCAGACCACAGGCACAGCTCCAGCAGTTCTGCCTGAAGGTATTTTGCCAACACTAGTCCATACAGACAAAGTCATATTCTCCTGTGGCACTTGGGGACATGGGTCACTGGTGGACCTGGCACTGCTGAATTCAGTTAGACTTGATGATCTTCAAGATCTTTTCCAACCTAAACGATTCTATGATTCCCTGACATTTTTAATTGGGAGCTGTCTCCACCCTCCATCGCATCCTCTCTTTTATCACTTCAAGCAACCTGACATCCCCTGGTATTCAGAGGCTTTATTGAACATACACAGTGCTGATCAAAGGGGATCATCTGGAAGATGAGGATATTTAGGGAGACTACCACATTATGGACAGATACAACTGTTTGGGATGACAGGGAAAGCCTAATAGAGGGAGAAAGGCAGAGGGGGTCCACTGTGCTCAGAAACAGGTTAAATAGCATGTGTTTTCATCTGGGAAAGAAAAGCTAGGAATCTGTGGGAGAAAACAATCTAAACAAATATTCAAAACCCTTTAAGAAAAGGAAACTGGACACCTCAAAGCTGTAAAACAACATCAACAGATGGTGTGGTGGTAAAAGGCAAAGGGAGGTGGGAGCCCACCAGACAAGGATGTGGGAATAAGCCAGTGGAGCTCCTTTAGCACCACTCATTATGGACCCCCAGTTTTTCATACTGGTTTTTAATACATTCCACCACGCAATACAAAGATTAAATAATTGCTGGTTCAGTTTGTGCAGAAATCAGAACTAAATATAAAATGGCTCAGAATACCCAGAAACAGAAACACTGTGACATATTTAGAGTCATGTAAACACTGGGAACAGCCAAAGGTATTTGAAAACATTTTAGGCAGAAGTGACAAAATAAAATGAAAAATAGGTTGAACTTATGGATGATCATTAGATTGTGCAACAGTGACAAAGAAAGAAAATCCCATTGCTTGGAACATCATAAAGTTTGTCAGGACAAAGTATGAATTACAGCGTTAGAGAACCAACACCTGCAGTGGGTTGGGACACAGGTTATGGAGCTCGCAGAGGAACCAGGATGGTGCAACTGGAGGTGAAAGTGTGGAGCTCCTGGGAGGACAGGGATGAGGGGAGCAGAGGAACAGAGAGAACAATCCTCCAGTAATTACTGCCCAACCTCCCACACAGACATGGAGTCAGTATTTCAAACTGGGTCAGGCACATCCTATTGCCAGAGACTTTATTAATTCATCCCTTCATTCTCATTATGGAATGAAATGTACAATTAATAGCCCCAAACAGAGAGAATTAGCCTTGACCTGCCTTCCCACTCATTTCTTGCCTTCTCACACATACTTCCCCCTGCTGTGCTCCCAAAATCATACAGGGCTCTTACAAGTGAGAAGATGGATTGAGACAGAGAAGATGTGGTTGAGAACCAGACAGTCTTTATGGTAATATTATTGGGTGTGCCACAGGCCCATCCATCTCAGCCACCACGGTGTGGCTCAGCACCCTTCCAAGGGAAGGCAGTGAGCACAGAATACTCAGGGATCAGAAAAGAGTGGGATTGATTGCAGATCAATCAAAGCCAGAGGGTGTAAAATGCAAAACACTGATAAAGGCAACAATAGGGTTGATAGGAAAATCTTTCCTTCCTCAGCAAGGGCTGTGGAGGAAGATCAAAGCCAGCCAGGGCAGTTCCCACGGGGAGGCTGGAGGTGGGAGAGGCAGTGAGAGCTCGGTTATCCATGGCACAGCAACCTGGACCTGCCAGTCCTGGGCAAAGCAATCCAGGCACGAGCCAAGTGTTCTGGGATTAGAAGCTGATACCAGTGACAAGGAGACTTGAGGCTAGAGCCTTCTGAGGAGATTATAAAAGGGGCAAGAATACAATGACTTTCTGATGATGCCAGCTTTGCATCGGTCACATTCAAACACAAACCAAATCAGCAAGAGGCCCCGTGCTGCGAGGCAAAGCTGTGCTCCCTGTGCATTGCTCCTGCATAGAGAGGCATTTCCACAGGACTCCTGAAACTGTTGATGTGGGACAGATTTATTCATGCTCTGGAATTAAATTAAACACTACTGTTGCTAAAAATTATGGGTGGAGCCACGGAAGGGTGGAGAGCAAAGGCTGTGAATGGGACACTCCATCAGTGGATCCCTCTCTCCGTAGCTGGTTCTGCCCAAGACAAGTGGCTGCAGCACAGTCAGAGAAGTCCAGGACTGTGGATGCACCCATGTGGTACTGCAAACACAGAGAACCACGCTCTGAGCTGAAGGACTGACCAAATTTTCAGTTCAGGTGGCCAAGATGGAAGAAGGAGATAATTTTCTCCCTGTCTGAAGCTGTGGTGAGGCCACTCCCCATGTGCTGCAGACATAGTGAGCAGCTTCAGGTTTCAGAGGTGATCAGAAAAGCTGAAGACGGCTTCAAAATGCAGCACTGAAATGGTTCAAGACTGGGAAAAGACAGTTTATGACTCTGTGAGACCAAACTGCTCCAGTCTGGTTCTCATGTCAGAAGGAAGACTAGAAGATGATTTGATTGCAGCGTATCATCATCTTCATGGGGAGAAAATACTGTCTTGCCTTAACTTGGCAAGGAAGAGTCAAGTGCAATCTCATTGCTGGAAGCTGGAACCAGCTGAAATGAGGCACAAAACATTAGCACAGATGCTGGATCACTGGAACAGCCATTTCCAAAGGATGTGCTCAGGGAGAACAGATCCCTTTGAGTTTTCAAACCCAGAGTTGTGTGTCTGGCTGGCCCCAGGTCCCTGGGCTCAGTACAGATGTGCACTGGCCACATTTGGTGGCCTGGAGCTGAGGAATATATAAATTATTAGACCAGACCAATGGACCCTCAGAACTTTCTCCCCTCATGCACACTGACTTCGTGGATCCAGCCCTACCAAGAAAAGAATTTCCCAGCTGGAATGTCTGCTCCTAGGTGGGACCTAACCCTGCAAATATTAACTGAAAGCAATTCATTGCCCCATATGTTCTAACTCCGAGCAGGTACCTGATGTGCAGAAGGACACAGCCCCAAATACTTTAGCAACTTTCTTCTACATGATTTCATGGCTTAGAAGCCCTGAAAGGAGCCTGCTGTTCCCCTCAAAAACAAGTGAAACCATAAAGACAGCAGCACTGACACTCCTGGGAGCAGGACTGAGCTCTCCAAAAGCCACTTGGTGCCTTAGCTGGGGCTGCACAACTTGGGAGAGGAGGAGGAGGCAGCAGTGGTGGAATCCAGCTCTCCCAGCAGGACCGAGCATCACTTTCTTCTGGTCCCCTGTGAAATCCAGGTCATGCTTCTGTGGCTAGAGCAGAACCAGGACCAGTCAGCTCAGTTGCTGAATGGGATATAAATCTTCCCAAGGGTCCAGGGGAGAGCTGGGCTCAGGGAATGATCTTCATGGCACAGCAGGTCGAGTTTGAAGCCTCCTGGTTAGACTGGGGAAAGAGTACCAACATCCCTGAACAAAGCAGGAAGGAAAAGGAAGCTACTGACACTGGAAAGCTTCAGGCAGGATGGAAATGGGGATGTGCACAGCCCCAGCTGAACCAGTTTTCCTTGGAAGACAGGAGTCATCACAGCCTCCACCATGCACAGCATCAACCCACACATGCATTGAGCCAGGGGAGGCGACCCCAGGGAAGCTTCATTTCATTCCCAGTACTTTGGTCCTTGCCCACGATGCTGCACTTGCTCAGTGTTGCGCTGAATTTTACCTCCCCTGCTACTGAGCAGCACAAAGAACCTCCACTTGGAGATGAGGATAAAGTAGCAGCAGATCTGGAACAGTCTCATACTCCAGAAGTTCCCTGAGACACAGGGAGGGACAGGGAACATCCCGCCTGGGGGAGGGAAGACATCAGGCCTCAGCACCACCGTGGCCAGGCCTGGTTCCTGTCCCATGGCAGCTCTTCTGGAGCTGAGGCACAACTGCTGGAAAGGCTCAGAAAGAGGATGAGCAACAACAGGAGTGAATTTTCAGTTCTGCAGCTCCCAAGGCTCCAAACAGGTGCCACGGGTTTGGGTGAGGACACAGGAAGAAAAGGACTCAAAGCTTTTGGGGTGTCAGGTAAGTTCAGTATCAGTCCTGGGGACTGATCCAGAAGGACTCTGCAGTGTGACCCAGGCAGTGCCCACGTCCCCGTGCCCACACAGAGACCTGTCCCAGCTGCCAGATCCCTGCAGGGGCACTGCTGGGGCCACACTGGGACCAGTGATGGCCAGAGCCTCCACTTGGTGGAGACAGCAGCGCACAGGAGCCAAGGCAGGACCTGCCAGAGTCACCTCCCACCAGCGGGTCCTCCAGCCACCCTCTCCTGGTGGCTCTGTGCTCTGTCTCCAGCCTCATGCCACCACCCTTCTGCACGAAACAATGCAGGTTTAGTGTTCAGTGTGGCCTTCCAGGGGTCAGCTGCACCTCCCTCTGCAGGTCCAACCTAACATCCATGGGCTGATGTTCCCTGGGAAGAGGATATTCCTGTTCTCCAAACACAGCACTGCTTGCACAGGACAAAAACTGCTCAGAGCCATCACGCCACAGGGGAGCAGAGTGCCCAGTCACGGCTGGCTTAAACCCTACTTCCTTCCACACGGGGGATCTAACTTCTTCTCCATGGCTTTGCCCCTTCCTGGGAAATCCTCCTTCACTGTTCTGTGCCTTTTTACTGAGCTGTGGGCCCTGGCAATCCAGGAGGCTCTTCCATGCCGAGGAGAGGAGGCAGAAG